GTAATCCATCACAGAGAACCATTCCTTACCTTTAGGTTTTGTCAAAGTTTTGTTATTTTCGTGAGTGTTTTGAAAACTCTCCCCGTTGGTGGTTTCAAACTCACACTACCTGACATTTGGCCCAGCCAGAAAACACACTATGTTTTACACATTGTCTGCATTTGCTTGTTGTTGGAGTAATTTTCTGAAAACATACTGTAGCTTGTCACTATAATGCTTTTTGTGAGTAAACTATTCAATCTTAGCTGTCAAAGCTTTGTTGAAGTCACCATCACAAAGAGTTTACAAACAAGTCATAGCTGCATTACAAAATGTCAGTAGCACAAACAAACAAAAACAATATGTGTTCAATGTAATAGATTACCAATTTCAAGTTGTCTCCACAAGCTCACTGTATTATAAACTGGAGAGTGCTAGAACACAATGAAAGCATGATAGGTAGAAAATCAATCCTAAAAGCTATTCAAAAAAGTGTTTGCTTTAAAAAATGGTCAGCACAAATACAAACACAATGTTCCCAGTGATACATCTGTGGGGTCATAAGATGATTAAAGGGACATGAGAGAGAATTATATATTGCTGTTAAACACACTTGATTTCTGACTAAAATTATGGATATTCTCATCTTCACGTGGCCTCAAGAAATACATAAAATAAAACAATTTAGGAGGGAAAAATCACTCCTGACAACTCATGTCCACACTATACCATAGCCTGTGACAGGGGTTCACAAAGTAGGCATGAATTCACTTTGAGGGGTCCCAAACCAAAAAGTTTGGAAATCACTGATTCACAGGATAAGGTAGAGTACTTTGACTTCATGGGCAGTAGTGGGTTTTAGGTCAGGGAAGCGAGGTGCCTTTGAGCAAGGTCCCTATCCCCAACCGCTCCAGTGGAGCTGCTCAGTGGCCAGCATCATACAGATCATACAGACAGATTTGGTTGTATGGGGCAGCTTCCAGGTGTGAATTTGATCTCAGCATTCCTGAAAAAGAGAGCATCGCTCTCAGTGAAACTGAATAAATAAAAGGTGGAAACCCCCCCACCTGAATTTAAAGGATAATTCTGGTTAAAGGGGAACTCCACCAATTTTTAACATCAAAGTCTGTTTACAGGTCTTGGGGAGTAATACTGTGAAAAAGTCTTTTGTAGCTCCAGAGGGAGCTGTGTAAAATCTGATAAAGAGTTAGAAAGAAGGAAGCTTACCAGACCTCTGTAGCTACACATCTCTGCTTGAGGCTAGCAGCTAGAGGATGCATTAGCCTCTACTAGCATGGACAGTGGTCGGAGTCCAGCTTAATCCAATGCCACTTTGATTACTCTAGCACAGCCTGACACTGCAGTCTTCCAAACCTATGGAAGACAAAACTTTATGTCTCCCAAAATAAATTGATCAAAGTGGTCTTAGGCTTCGGTCCGTGAGAGCGTATAGGGAGGAACCAGTTCATGCAGCTAAATTGGCTCCCTGTGGAGTACAGATTGACACAATTAACACTGTCAGGTTCACAAACTGTAAATGGTGTAGATTACCTATTAAACCTCCTCCTGCAGGTCAGAGAGGCACCACACCGGGCCCACTGTAGCAAATCTGATGCTAGTAAGAATCAGTAGTTAGTTGGGTTAAAGCTCTTTTAGATACTCAGAAAACCTTTTCCAATCCTGGGCACCAAATAGTATTAAACAGACCATGAATCCAGTCACTTTTAAGTTAATATTATGCTTTTATATATGCCGCTAATACCGTACCCCGCTATCTCCATGAGCAAGCATGCACACACCTCTATAACATCTAACTACAACAAGAAACCATCAGAATCAGTTATTTTAAACCTTCATCATGTGACTTCTCATGTGGCAATTCGGGTGCATTTCTAGATCTCAACAATTAACTTGTGCGTACAATGTCTGTATTACAGCTAGAAATGGCAAAACTAAGAAAATAAGACACAAGTTACAATAATGGGAATAACACGTCAAAATATGCACATAAGCTACAATCCCTGATGCAACTTCAGGTAAATGTTGGATTGACTACAGGTGCAGCAAAAGGTCATATAGCAAAGAGTTTCACTGCTGTCTCACTGCACATCACTGTATGTACACATAAATGCTTTGTCACACTGTCAGCATGATACTGAATCCACTATTCATTGAGGAAAGGTGTGTGAGAACCTTTCCTCAGTGAATAGCGAATACAGTATCATGCTGCTTTTTCTCTAAGGGAAACCCAGGGAGAAGAAACTCAGATCTGAACGAAAGCATGACAGCTGCTCTGTCTCTCTCTGTTGGGATTTTAGCGAGAGAAAGAGCGGGAGACTGGAGGAAGAGGTGGGAGGAAGACTCTTCAGAGAAAAAAGAAAAAAAATACTGAGCTTCCTGTGAGTGGAGACAGCCAGATGGAGAGTTTAGCGAGGAAGGTATAGACAGGAAGAGAAGAGGGATGAGAGATGAAAGGAAGATGTGACAGGTCCGCTCTCTCCTCTCTTTCTGTCCCATAAGCCTCTCTGGTTTCCAGCTGAGACTCTCCTCTGTAGTGGGAATGTCTCTTCTCAGCAGGTCCCACTTATCAATATTTCTCTGTGCTGGAAATAAAAAATAAATAAAAAAAGCTTTAGGATAAGGTTGAAATGCCACTCCTATACTTTTTGATAAATTAAACATGCATGAGAATTGCTTTTAAAGATTTAGCGCTGCCCTGAAATTACTTTGGCTGCCTATTTTTTTTAAAACACACCATCAAAATTGGTTGTTGACTGCTCAATGAGGATTTGGTGTGTGTTTGTATGTGTGAACTCTGATGTATGCTGCAGAGTTAAAAAATCTCTGCTTTTGTATTTTCAACCTCGCTCTACCACCTCATTTATAGTTAATGAGATATCAGGGGGTGTACTAATTGTTTTCGACTGAGAGATGATGGGCTGATGAAATAAAGATAAAGGAATGAATAAAAGAGTGGAAAGAAGTGGGATGAGCAGAGAGGATGAGGGGCAGGTGGAAAAAACAAGGATTGAACAGGTAGTGAAAGAGAAATGGAAATAACGTAGATTAAAGCTGAATAGAGGAAGTCTTCGTATTCTTTCTCTGTAGGCAGAACTCAAACATTAAAGCCATAGAGTTGCTTCTTTCACTGTTATTTATGCATGTTTCTAGATTGTAACATCATACTAATGATGTGGCATTCACTACCAATTGTGGAACAAACATTTATTTTCATGAGGTACAGAAACTCATTCCTTTCTCCTTTTATTTTACTCCTGCGTCGGTTAATTCTCACTGGTGAAATTAAGCTAACCGTGGGTTAAACTGACTACAAGAAAAACCTTTAAAAAATGAAGGACTGTTTAAACGCAGCTTCTCTTTTCGCCTGTAGCTAGTGGCCATTGTGCAAGCACAATAATACACCTAGGAGTTCTGATGGTCTGGCATTTCTGACTTTGCTTCCTCCACAGAGGGTGTGCTGGAAAGGTTCAGCCTCAAAGTGCTCCTTCCACCATACAACGTATCTCTTGGTGGTCAGCCATTCTCCTCTGCTAGAACTGTCTAGGAAAGACAGGACAATGTCTCCCCCCCGCCTGTGCCGACTGACAGTTTGTCAGATAAGTCCAATTCCATGACCTCCTCCCTCATCTGAGTTGGTGGAGCTGATCGTCATAGTGACGCAGTTGGGAAACAACCAGGGAAGAACAGGGGGCTTTTACTTTGGTCTTGAGAAACTGCAGCCTTCATTCACTGACAGTATAACATACACTGTAGATTTACAACCTCACTGCTCACCTTTAACACTCTCTCCCTCCCTTTCACACACTATCTACACACACACACACACACACACACACACACACACACACACACACACACACACACACACACACACACACACACACACACACACACACACACAGACACAGACACAGACACAGACACAGACACAGACACAGGAGAGTCTACTGTTATAACTACGGATATCAGTATGGTGTTGATACATCCACACTTTGTCAAATGACCATGCCGTGATTTTGCTGGCTGCCATTTTTGAGTGTATAAAAATTAAGCTTCCTGCACTGATAGCATCCAGCAATGTGTTTTTGCCACCAACACAGATACCAGCAATCTTCTGGCCACAACTTCCGCCAGCAACCTTGACCCTGGGGACCACCAGAAAAAGAAAGTCCAGCCTCCAGCTGGGAGTTTGTGCTCCACAAGCCCGGGCTCCTTGCACAGCAGTGACAGAGGTTACATTTCACTTCCCAAGAGCTAGTACATGCTACACTCCCAAGGGTCTCCCGGAATCCTAGTCTGGGCAGATACGGGTCTCTGAATCCCACTTAGTGGATGTTCAGACAAAAGGCTGCATTAGTGGACCTGGCTTCAGGTACTGGTGAGGCACTGAAATATATTATAGGAGGTCCAGTTAGTGTAATAGAGCCATGACGTTTATCAGATGCTAAACACTGCACAGTGGTTTATAATCTAAGAAAGGATTTTACTGCTCTAGACAGCTGGATGACGTCGCAATGCGCTGCAGCAAAGGTTGAGCCCGTTTAAACTTTTTCGTTGGAAAACCCTGCGTTTCTCTTTTGCTGACGCCCTCAGTGTTATTCAAATGAAAGAGGGGTTGTGTTATTTAGCGCAGGGCTAATGTCAGCATGAACGTAGTCTGAACAAGGTCCCAGACACTTGGCTGCAAGCTCCCCTTCCAGGAGTCCCTGTTGACGTTGCTCTTTCACGAAGGCACTGTTCCACAGAGGTCTTTGAATCACACTTAGCCTTGCCGCTCACCTGGCACTAACAGCCTTTGGAGAATCTACAGGAACCGTGACAGCTGACAACACAGCACCCAGGGTCACAGGGCCATGCAACAACAACAAGGTGGTGAGAATTGTCATTGAATCTTCCAGTTTGTCACAGCCTCGGGATATGGTTTTGTCATGGTAAAATGTACAGTCAGTGAGTTACTACAGTTACATGTTGCTGCAGAATGTACAGTATTTCAAGTCTGGTTCTCTAATAGTCAGTTTTTATTGATTACATTTTCATTTTCAAATTTAAACCAGTCAGAAGGTACAGTAATTTCATCGGCTGCAGACAGTGCAGTTACAAAGCAGTACAAAGCAGTACATCACAAAATGCTGAAGGAGAATTTTGTATGCTCAAGTGCAGCTTATATGAAACCCTCTAAAATATTACCTCTAGGTGTGAGCTGTGGGGTGTGCAGAAGATGTGCTGTGTTGTGAAAATGAATGAGGGTGTGGAAAAAAACAAGGACAGTATGTGGCATGTACTGTAAAGGAGAATAGGTTTTCTCTTGAGACATATGGCTGCACCAGCTGGAGTTCTTATATTGTTGCTGTGATAAGTGGCTTTAGAGTCAGTTCACTTCCTTTTGTTTCTCAGTTTTATTGGATTGGTCCCTTGCTTCCTCTTCACCCCATGTGTATTTCTGCCATTTCTCTTTATTGCTGCCTCAGAAATTCTCTCGTCTTGTCTCATGTTCATACTCACGCCAACACACATAGGCACGATCATTAACTAAATTCGTAACAGGAAAATTTTATAGTTTATCAAAATCAAAATTCATAACCTATGACTTGTTTCTGTGTTATAAAGGTTACAACAGTAAGCATTTTAGGTTCTCAACAAATATTAACATATCAAACATTAAAGCATCCCTAGTGATCTGTTTTTGTGTGTGTGTGTGTGTGTGTGTGTGTGTGTTTTCTTAGTCCAATCCCTACTTTGTGTGTGAAGAAGAAGAGGAGAGGAAAAAACAAATGTGTATACGGTACAAAAACAGATTTATTTGATAAAGCTGGCACACTTAAAAGAAGAAAATTGTTCAAAGCACTAACCTGTAATTTGTTCAAATAAAAATAAAAAGCAACTCATGCAATATAATCCTAAACTAGCACATTGTCGTTAAACTGACGTGTTTCCTTTCATGCGATGTGCATCGAGCCAACATGTGATTTAAAGCGTTTGCATTTTTAAAAGGCAGCAAACAGCCTTACCTTCATCAATTACTTTTTTTTTTTCAATTTCCCATTTATAATAACCGACCGGAGTGGTGTCATGACTATTTGTCCATCTTGCACAAATGAAAAAAACATTAGACAAGCTTGGTGAGGTCAACAGGGCACGCTATACATCCAAGTGGTAACACTTTCAAACTCTCCACGTTTGAGCACACTAATGCCTGTTGCGCTTATGTACCGTGTACTTCGGGGGAGGTTATTACAGATCAAATATCGAATTTTTCCTCATGGCCAAACCATACTGAGAATTTTAAAATGTGTTGTGAGGAAGGCAAGGTCGGCTCTTATTCTCCCTTCTAACGGAAACGACCAGAAAGAGATGTGCAGGAAACTTCTGTTTAGACTTTTATCAATTCAAGAACATTATTATTATTTAAAATAATAAAATCATATGTATGGCATAACTAAATTAGATATTGATGAAAAAGTACTTCACATTTATATATATATATATATATATATATATATATATATATATATATATATATATATATATATATATATATATATATATATATGCCAAGACAAGAATGTGAAAAAAGGAAAACAATAAAATCCACAGATTTTGCACTCAAATGGATTCCTTTATCACTATCTTTGGAGTGGCTTGGACTAGCTGTAACCACAAAGCATCTGTGTGAAACCTTTCATACAAGGCCCCAAGAGAGAGGACAAAAAAGGCAGAATAAAAACAGTCAACAAAGACTCAGCCTTGGTAAAGACCATACAAAACACATCACTGCACATACAGAGAACCATACAAATGTTTCTCTTGCTCCATATATACCTGAAAAAATACTTCAAAAGCCAAATGTCACTGTTTTTAGTATGTCATTTTCATGACAGCTATGGTATATTGAGAAAAAATTATATTTGTCAACATTTTATTGATAAAATATTCAGCGTACAAATAGGAAGCTGTTTTCATAGCCATTTGAATGTAAGTTGGAAGTATTCCATCAAACAAGGTGTTTATCCTCCACAACACAGCACTGACTGCATGATTCATATGTCAGTTGTCGAGAAGTACCGGCACATTTTGAAGACTTTGTGAATATCGTATGAGACAGAAAAAAACAATGCAAGGAGGAGAGTGGAAAAACACAGGAAATTAAAAACTGATCCAATATTCAATGCTACACCGTTGTGTCTGATATGGTGTCACATTACTTCAGATCGTAGTTTGGCGGCTGAAGAGGTCGAGGGTCACAGCAGAGAGGAACGCTGGGATGCTCTTCTGGTGATGCAGATGAAGGGCCACCATCTCTCCCAGAGTTTTAGAGAACTCTGTCTCCATGAGCTGCATGCTTCCATTGGAGCCCTGAACACACACACACACACACACACACACACACACACACGCACACACACATTGAAGCACAGAGGCATCAAAAGACAATACACAATATCAAACAATGAGACCTGGGTTTTTTAACTACATCCATCTCCAGAGGTAAACTTTCAAAGTGAAGCAACATCACTTAAAGTTGTTATTGTCTACAGGGGATTACCAAGAGTGTATATATGTGTGTGTGTGTGTGTGTGTGTGTGTGTGTGTGTGTGTGTGTGTGTGTGTGTGTGTGTGTGTGTGTGTGTGTACGCATTCACAGCAGGGTGAAGGTGTCTAAATCTGTGTGGATTAATTAAAAGGAATGAGGAGCAGCTCGGGGCAATGGAGTGAAGGAGAAAGGGATGAGGAGAGAAACGAGGGATAAAGTAATTAAAGCATTCCAGGGAGGGAGGAAGGTAGTGAGGAGCGGAGTCCCATGACATGCTGGGAAGATATGGAGATGTCTGAGACATGTCCTGTGTCAATGTGTGTAAGAGACACAGATCTTTACTTGACAAGTATCGTGAGAAGACTTATGAGGCAGATGGCAAACGGAAAATAAATGAAATAAGAAAACGACAAGAAAAGACCACAAGACAAGAAAAATGAATGGGATAAGATTAACAGAGAAAGATTTACTGTAATACTGCACTACATTATTTCCCACGTGGACACTTTTTTTACTGCAAGTCCAACTCAGTTAATGTTCACCCACAGAGAGGGATTTGGAGCTCAATAACTTTAAACAAAAAAAAAGATAAAAAACAGGATTTTGACTCGAGCATTCTCATTTGAAAACTGAACAGATTGCAGAAATAGGACATTGGAGAGTAGTGTAGCTGATGCAAATAAATAATAAAAAGTTAATCCTACTTGATAAACCAATTAGTGTGCTTCCTCACACACAACAGGATGAGGTGAACTCAGCTGTTCACTTTTGTGTGAACATCCACAAATCTCTAATGGGTGACAGGAGAGGATAACTGAACTAATGACATTTGCTAGCTGACTGCACAATGCTAAACCGAGGCTAAACGTAGTACGGAGAGTGCTTGAGAGACACAGATAGAAGGACTTGCTGTTTCGATGTTTTTTTTTTTAAGAAAACTGTACAATAATGTTGCAAAAATATTAATAAGCACAAAACATTAGCTTATTGTCCGTAAATGTGGAGTGTTCAAGCTAATGTGGGATATAAGTTGCTCTTTAATAACAACTTTTTTCATTATTTTCTAACAAGTCATAAGACCCTTGTGGCATTGTGTTTTATTTTTTCCATTAGTATTTATTGGCAATTGACCTTTTTTTTATAAAGTCAAGAGGCTGTAGATGGGAAATTAGGGAGAGGGTGAGGATGACATGCAACAAAGGTTCCAGCTGGATTCGTTGCGGTTACGTGGTAAGCATCTTAGACTACTAGCCCGCCGTGACACCCGGCATACAGCTACTTTCAAGATTAAATGTACACTCCTGTCTTGAATTGGGTCATGATCAAGAAGTTTAATATTATTTATTTAACAATAAGTTGTGTCTTCTGGATCTGATGTATGAATAGATGGTGAGGTGGTAAACAATCTTCTTCAATTCAAAGGAGGTCCAATCTGCTTCCTACATTTGAATATTCCTACTGTGACTTTAATAGTGATTTTCTCAGTAAAATAAGGACATGATTTTAATGGACCAACTTCAACAGTGGCAAAGAAAACAACACCTAGACGTTTCATTTCTTGCAGACAAATTAAGCTGATTTGTGCCATGGCCACAGAAAATACTTATTTTCCAATTACCAGCGGGGGCTGTAAAACATTTTATGTAAGGACACCTCACAGCAACAAGGTTATGGTCACCTCTTCAAGCATTACTCCTTACATGTGGTCTTGATTTCATTCTAAATCAGTGTTTACTACACAGACCTGGACACTGCAGTGAGGCAAACCAAAGGCTTTTCTAATCACACCAGCTTTCTCATGACTACTGTCAATGGCTCCGTTTCCCTGACCGTCCCTGGTGTCTTCTTTTCTTGCACGGCTGTCTGAAAGCTAGGCCATATCCTCGGGCTGCTACTCTCATCACACACAAACACGTGTGTGCACACGGCTCTAAAAACTGCTGGGGCTCTGGGAACATGGAACACATACATCAAAGAAAAACACTGCTAGCAGTTACCATGGAGATCTCTGTGTCTGAAACACCTTCTGCTGAAGTTTGTCCTCAGAACAGACTTAGACTTTTATGAGTGGGTGTATGTGCGTGTGAGACACAGTGGACGGGTTTATGGAGGCCTATGGGAGCCGAGGATGGTGAGGCCTCCCACAGTCAGTTGGAAAGGAAAGCTAAGATAACACCATCATTGTCTGGAGAAACACTAGTGCCCCCATGTAACATTTGGATTTCAAGTGGCCAAATGTGCGAACAGACACGCACACATAAACAGGTAGGTGGCTGAGCAAAGGTTATAAAGATTTACACATTGTAGAAAAGGTTTTAGACACAAAACTGAAGCGGCAGTGCTCTGGGTCTGAGACAGAGAAAGAGTGTAACACAAAGAGGTTGGTAGGAGAGGGAGAATCAGTTAATACCAGCAGACTCACCATTCTGCCTGAACACTGTTCATACAGTTGCCTCAGCAACAACACAATTAAACTTTACATTTAAAGTCACTTTCCAGTAAGTTAATGCTCTAATCTTCTAATCTTAATGTTCTAATCTAATCATATCTTTATTTATTTATATATTAAAAGTTCTCTATTTTTTGTGTGTGATTGTTGTGTGATTGTATATTTTATGCACCACCACTATGGAGCCAGACTCGATACACAAATGCATTTTCAGTGTACATACAAATATGCTTCAATCCATATATAAGTAAAAAAAAAAAATAACACATATAAAAATAAGATTTGTAAACATATTTGTGATGCGCACACAAATATTTCTTGTTTTAAATATGTGCAATAAAAATTCACAAATGTACAAATCGTCAGGTATTTGCAATTTTCATCAAATACATACTCGGACGTTGTTACATTGATATATGAATTGTCAAACGCGCATTTGTCTCAGTGCTTTTAATTTGTAAACCTCCCTGCATTTGTGTGTGGAATTTTGAGACTCTTCTAGAGTGACTCCGATACACAAATGCATTTTTTCTACAAGGGGGCCGTCTGCAGCCATTTAGATGTCTCACTCCTTTACAGCCAATCACATGAGTGCCTCCCCACGAGGGGTTTTTAACTGACGTCATTACAGGGCGCAACGGATATGATGATGATATGCACGAATGATATGGATCTAGATCACGATCTAGATGGGCCAGAGGAGATGGCAGCGAAAAAAAGGAAACACGGTGTCTGGAAGCGGCAACCCCGACAATTTATGTCTAAGTGAAACAACGTTTTGTTTCACTTACACTTAAATTGTCTCGGTTGCCGCTTCCAGACGCCATATTTCCTTTTTTCGTGAGGCACTCATGTGATTGGCTGTAAAGGAGTGAGACATCTGATTGGCTGCAGACGACCCCCCTTGTAGAAAAAATGCATTTGTGTATCGGAGTCACTCTAGAAGAGTATGTGTACAAACCTACCTGGCAATAAATCGGATTCTGATTCTGATAATGAGGAACACGTGCTTCAAAATGTTTTAACTGTACTTAATTCGTTGTTGGCGCATCAAAAAACAAAACCTTAGCTCATGACTGAAGCCTTGCACGTATCAAACTAGCGTTGCAGGGTTGCAAGCATTGTAACATGTTGAGGTTAAGACAGGCAGCTTTCGTTTCAACTTGCCCGTTATTTACAGACTCAGAGTCTACAGCCAAGCTAATGGCTATCCAGCGGGGCCTTGAGCTTAATGCTAACATCAGCATGCTAACATACTCACACCGACAATGCCATGACACTATTGCTGTGACCGTGACACTAACATTTGCTAATTAGCAGTAAACACACAGTACAACTGAGGCTAAAGGGAATGTCACTCATTTTGTACTAGTTATCTCTGCCGGGTGTAAAACCCACAGGGGATCACGCGTTCGGTTGTATGTGTGCGCGTGTCCCTAGTGGACCCATCAGTTTGATTTTTTGGTGCACATTTATGAATGTATGCTCAGAGACTCATGGTTGCAGTGATTCATACTTTCGGACAAATCTTTAAAAAAAAAACATTATATTGACTGTTCTGTTTTATACCGACTTCAAGTCCTCAACCCTATTACCGGCTGGTAGAGGTGCAGGTGATCAACAACTTCTAGGCTAAAAACAAGTCTTACCTAGTCTGTTGAAGGCCATATTATGACCTTGGTGCAAAAACATATATAGAAATGCTTGGTCTCGTCTTAAACCAGAGCATCTACAGATTCATTCCATACCCGATATGTTTGATATAAGATGAATAAATCCCTGTTTTTGTTTGGATTATTATTTAAGTGAATAAGACGTTTGTTACAATAGCCAGAAATAGAAAAAAAAACTCTGCCACATTTCAAGTGATGTACAGTGTAATACTTTTGTACTAGATAGCTAGCATAGTTAATCAAGAATTGCATCTAATCATCACAGACCAGTTGTATTGAAATAAAACTTAAACACAATTTCATGTTTTTTCATAGGTATTCAAGATTAATTAACCATGCGTAATGTTAACATCTTGTTTCTCTGCGAAGTCTACAGTCTTATGCAGGGCCATTCTTCCTGACGTACATTGTCTTTTTTTTCACGATTTCCTAGACATTGTTGTAATGTTACACCGAAAGTAAATGGAAAAGTAGAAAATTGTACACTTCTTAGGACAGCTCGCCTTCGAATGCACGCACAATGTAGGAAGACGCCACCCTAGCAATGGTGACTTGTTCATTTTCTGTACTTCCCCAGATTTGTGTATACTGTACAGGTAAGCTTTAGTCCAGCTTTCAAGTTCTCTCACTTGTACCAGTGAAAGACTGTCACAACTTTGTTGATTTAATTACTTCTTCTAGTTTCTAGTGAAAGAAAAAA